AGGTCCGCAGGGGGGGTCTCTGCGACGGCGTCGTCGCCCCTCGGTCCCCGTGGCTGCCGTTGTAGAGGTCGGCGCAGCTGGAGCTGCCGCCCATGCCGATGGGCACTTTGGATATCGCGCGCCAGCTACCGCCTCCCATCCCAGCCTGCTCCGAGACCGAATGCGTGAACCTGGCGCGCCGCCCCCCCATGTCGCGATCTGCCGACTCGGCGGCGTCGGCGCGGCAGCGCTGAGCGAGGGCGGCGACCGCGCGAAAGTCGGGGCTGCTCAGGCACGTGCTGCTCACGAACTGCCATAGATGGTTCGCGAGTCTCTTCGCCTCGCCTGGCTCGGGCACCAGGTGAACGACGGGGGCCGCGACCATGGTCGAACAGGCCAGGCGACGCGCGGCGCCGAGACGCTCACGCACACGGCTGATGTCCGCGAGCGAGCACAAACAACTGGCGAGGCGTCGCAGCCTCGTGGCCCCCACGGAAACACTGAGACACCCGGAAGGGAATTGGCGAAATCGGCGCCTGCAAAGGGGGCGGGCTCGCCCCTGTGCGCCTGCGCTTCTGGCCGCCGGCCTGGAAGATGTCGACGGGCACCTCTTCGTTCTCTCTGTTGGCGCCGACGGCCTGGGCGCGCCCATGCACCGCAATGCGCCGCGCTGGGGCCGAAGAGCGGGGCGCTGCGATAGATTGCCAGGCAGAGCCCCCGCCCCAGGGGGCCGCTGCGATTTCGACGCGGTAAAATGTCCATCGCGTTGCCTTCCTCAAGCTGGACCGCAAGGAAACATCATGGAACGCCCGCGCGTCATCGAATGGCCGCGCGCCGCCGGCCCCTGCCATTGAATCGCGCCGCGCCCGCCGCGGAGGCGCGATCCGCGCGGCCCCCGAGCCAGGCCGCCGCGCGACCGCCATGGAACTCATCGCCGCCATGACGTTCCGCGGCCGTTGGGCATAGCGCCCGCGCGCTGCTCGCAGCGCGCAGCCGTCAAAATGCCAGCGGAATCGGCGCGCGCGCGGCCTACGATGCGCCGCGCGCTGTCCTGGCCGCGCGGCCGATGGCTTGCGCGGGAGAGACACCTCCAAACCTGATCCACGATGGGACGCGCCGGCGCGGGACCGACGGACCACGAGGAAGAGCCACTTTGGAGACCGCGCATGGGGAAGAAACGCTCGAGCACGAGCGCAGCGCGGGGAATTGGCGGGGCGCCGGAGGCCGTGGGATCTCGCGCCCGCGCTAGTCGAGCAAACTCCGCTCCGTGGGAGCGGCGCCCGCAAAACCCACCGCGGGCGCGGGGGTCGCCGGCGCTGCCGCCGCCGCGTCGAGGGCCCGCTACGCCCCCATGGGGGCCGCGGCGCGCGGCTGCGCTCGAGGCGGAGAAGAAGGGCCCAGCGGCAAACGTCGGCATCGAAGCCTCAACGGCCGCGGGCGTGGCGGCGCAGTCGCGAGCCCGCCGCGCGAGGCAGCGCAGCCCGCCGCGAGAGCATCCTCTCCGAACGAACGGGGGTCCCCGGGAGAGCCCCTGGCCCCCTCCCCGACCCCCCCGCCGCCCGTCCACGGCGCCTTCCCCCCTCCGTTCGGCCGCGATTTCGGGCGCATGTTTGGCCCCGATTACGCAGACTTGTTCGGCCCCCCTTCCGCGGAGGCGCCCTTTTTTAACCGCGATTTAAACTGATAGCGAAAAATCGCGTTCAAAATCGTCGGTGTTTTCGCGGGGCCCCACGAAGGGGCGCGGAATCGCGGCCGGAAATCGCCGGCAAAATTGCACCCGAAATCGCAAACAAAAATCATATCCGAAATCGCTGGCGAAATCGCAGCCGAAATCGCGGGCGCAGAATCGCGGGCCCGCCCGCGCGCTGGCGCGCCAAGCAGGCGCGCCCGCGCAGCATCAGCGACGGCAGAGAAAAACGAAGAGGGGGCGGCGGCGGCAGCGGCAGGGCCTGCAGCAGCAGCGGGACGAGGACAGAAGAGGAAGCAGCAGCAGTAGAGGAGGAGACAAGGAGGTGTCGACATGGGCCCGCCGATTCGTCGCGCGCCTCGCAGCGCACTCGACGTCGGGGGAAACTCGCCCGCCCGGCGGGCCAGGGGCGCGCGGAGATCTCCGGCGACTGCCTCGCGACATTTCCACCTTGCGCGCGACGGGCGGCCCCGCGGGGGCCAGGGCGCAAAGCGCCCCGGCCAGGACGGGCCAGATATGGTTTTCCTCCTGGGCGTGGCTTTGGCGCGCCCCAAAGCGATCCCAAAAGTCCAAGGCGCCCAAGACGCCCCAAGAGGTCTCCGAGTCGTTTCGTCGATCGATCGGCCCGCGACGCCCGCGGCGGCTTCCAGACGGCCCTCGGCGCGCGCGAGACGCCCGAAGAGGCCGCCGCGAGCTGAAACCAAACCCGAAAAAGCTGTTCTAATCGTAAATGAAAATGGCAGCAGAAAGACGAGGCGGAAAAAGACCAGGGGCGACGCCAATCAAATGACGCGCGGAGCCAGAATTACGCGCAAAGGGCACGCCGAACGCCCAACATCGGAGAAGGTCGGCGACGCAACAACTTCTGAACAAAGAAAAAACGATCAATTGAGAAATCTAATACTTGTTGCCTCGGGATGAACACACGCACACAATATCGCTGCACCCGTCCGCTCGGGGGGCGCGCAGCTGCGTGAGAAAGCGGAGCTGCGCGCGGATTGCAGAGGCGCCAACTTGGGGAACGTCGACTGGGGCCCCTGCGACAGCTGGTGGAGCAGGCGCACGCTCGCGGGGCGGCAGGTGCAGAAGCGCGCTGACATATGTAGCAGCCTGATCCTGGCCCAGCCTGCGATCGCTAGACCGACGAGCCAGCGGGTCGCGCCCGAGGGGTCACGCGCGGCGCCGCGACAGTGGACATCCACGAGAGCTGCTTTGTCGCCTCTACCGCGAGCACCACTGGCCGACGAGGGCATGCAATTAAATCGGCAAGGACATGTATCCCAGACACCACGAGGGGCGACGCCACCTTGAACATGTCGATGGCACGGCCCAGCTGAGAGCAAGTGGCCTGCAAGGTTGAGGGGATGGAACCCTCCGGGAAGAACTCCATGACGCCGCTGGCTAAGATCTCAACCTTGGTGGCGCTGAAATCGTCGCCGATGGCGACGGCGGACCGCGCTCGCGCGCCCGCGCGACGCGCGAGCGCGGCGCCGAGTAGTTGGCGGAAGTCATGCCGACGCCAGATTAAAACAGAACATACACACTCGCACTGAGAACTCCCCCACGACTCCAAAATTATGCAGAGGCGGGGCGCGCCCCTGGCGCACCACCTGGGGCTTGCTGCCCCCCGCGTCGCCCAGCGAGCGGGCGACCGCGAGCCCATCGGCAGTTCGCGCGCACGCAGGAAGGCCGCCAGCGGGCAACCCGTCAGCGGCCGACGGAATAGCAGCCGCCGCGCGCGCCACCCAACCTGGCACACCGACAGTGCGGCAATCGACGCGGCGGGTCTCCACAAGCAGCAACGCGTCGCCCTTGGCTAGGAAGCTGCCCACCGCTTAGCAGCTGTCGACGTTGGAAAAAGCATTCCTGCCGAACTCCTAAACGGCCGCGGCCCACTGCTCGCTGGCCATAGCGGAGCCGGTGGAGTCAGCGGGCACCTCGACATCATCATCGTCGTCGGCGGCCTCGCCAAAGCCAGGAGCCTTGGCTGCGTCCGAGGCCGCGGCGGCGGCAGGAGAAGCGGGCGCAGGCGGCGGCGTGGACGGCCCCGCCAGCAAGCCCTGCAGCTTCAGGAGCGCGGTGACCACCCCGCTGTCGGAGGCGACAGTGGGCATGCCGGGCATGGCGGCCTCGAGCCCTTAGGCCACAGCCTTGAACGGAGCGACTTGCTCGAGATGGGCGGTTCGCCCTAAGCCGCCGCGCGCAACCGAGGCATCGAGCCACTCAGCAGCGGACTCGGTGGCATCTGCAACCGCGGCGTCGGCTGCCTGCTTTGCCCTTACGACCAGCACGTCCATCTGCAACTGGCACTTGTCGACCAACAGCTTGGTCCCGCACGGCGCGGTGAAAGCATGGTGACGGCGACCTGCTTCCGCTCGAAGTCGTCCTTGGCGCGCTGCAAATTGAGGCCAGCGTCATCAGCGACCACCTGGGCCGACTTGACCACCTTGCTCTGGCAACCCAAAAATATCGTGCTTGTCGGCAACCGAGAAACCCTTGGCGAGGTCGGTGAACGTGGTCTCTTCGACCGTGAGGACGTGTGCGCGCGCCGCCCCGTTGAACACGGACCTCTTGCGCGGCTGAAGCGCAGGCCTGGGCAGGCTTGCGACGCAGCCCTCCAGGGACGCGTGCAAGTGGGCGGATGGACGACTTGGCCAGCACGCGGCGCAGGAGGATCACGATGACGGAGGATGCAGTCTCCCTTCGCGCAACCACAGCTGCCCCTGCACAGGCGCGCGTCACACGAGTTCCACCAGGGCTGACCAGCCTTGTTGATGCAGAACTTGCAGAGCCACTGTCGCGTATCCCGCCCGCGCCCGCCTGTCTGCCATCCAACAGTGGCCGCACCAGCTAACGCATGGGCGCCATCGCGAGCAGCTCGCGACGAAACTGAGCACGACAACGGTCACCCAAGATATTGCGCAGTAGACTTCACTCCCCTCTGGAGCTCTTGGCCCCAGCAGCGCGCAACTCGACTGGGGTTTCCTGAAACGGAAGCTGTCCTCGGACTACAAGTATCCAGGCCCAGTCCGACGGACAAAGGCATCTCGAGCCAAAGCGGCTGAGAAGAATGTGCAAACATAGGAGGAGGAGGAGGGAAAGGAAAGGGGCAGGAGGATGAGATATGGAGAGGGAGGAGGAAAGAGAGGAGGAGAAGTAGGAGGGAATGAGGACGAGTGATGAGACATGTGAGGACGAGGCGGGGGGGGAATGATCCAGAAGGGAAGGCGGAGGCATCGAGGGAGAAGAGAACAAGGAGGATCCATGGGAAAGGGAAAACGGAGCGTCGAGGAAGAGAGGGACGGAGGGTTGGAGGAAGGGAGGATGGAGGCTCCTGGTAGAGTCTCCTCATCATCTTGATGAACTCGGTGAACTCGATGAGCCCGCTGTTGTCGAAATCGAGCTCCTCGAGGAGCTGATGCACCTGCGCGTTGCGCCCGTCCTACGGGGGGGAATACGGCGACCCGAAACCCCGCCTGTGGGATTCCAACTGAGCAAAAGAAATCAGAGGCGGACTTTGGGGGGTGAGATCGCAATGAAACGGAGAGCCCCCCGACGTGAAATCGGTGTCGGTATCGTGTTCGTGTCGTGCGTACGGGCGGGCGAGGCGAAACTGCGTGGGACCGCGACTGGAATGATGCCGCCGTGGCCGGGGGCCGTGGAACCGTTTGACCGCCCCGCCCCCCGACACGGGGTGGCCTGGGGTGCCACGCCAATGGTGCGGGGGTGCTCCGACGGTGGTGCGGGAGTGCCCCGTCATTGGTGCGGGGGGGCCCGTCGGAGGCGCGGGGATGCCTCGTCGGTGAGATCGATAGTGAACTCGATAGTGAGATCTGTGGTGAGATCGATCGATTGTGATATCGATTGACAGATCCATTGGTGCTCCACCAGTTGTGCGGGGGTGCCCCGTCGGTGGAGGGGGTGCCCCGTCGGTGGTGCGGGGGTGCTCCGCCGGTGGCGATAATGAGATCGATAGTGAGATCGATAATGACATCGATAGTGAGATCGATAGTGAGCTCGTGGTGCGTTCAATAGTGGAATCGATACTGAGATCTGTTGTGAGATCGATCGTGAGACCGATTGTGAGATCGATGCACCGTCGGTTGCGGGGCCGCGTCCTTGGGGCGATAGTGAGATCGACAATGAGATCGAGAGTGACATCGATGGTGAAGATGTGTGGCGAGATCTATCGAGAGGTATGTGGTGAAATCGATCGTGGGACCGACTGTGAGATCGATAGGTGCTCCACCAGTTGTGCGGGGGTGCCCCGTCGGTGGTGCGCGATGGTCCCGTCGGTGGAGCGACAATTAGACTGATAGTGAGATCGATTGTGAGATCGATAGTGGGATCGATAGTGAGATCGTCCGTGAGACCGATCGTGAGATAGATAGTGAAATCGATCGTGAGACCGATGGTGAGATCGACAGCCTGTCGGAGGCGGGGGGTGCCGCGTCCTTGGCACGATAGTGAGACCGATAGTGAGATCGATTGTGAGGTCGATATTGAGATCGATATTAAGATCGATAGTGCGACCGATAGTGAGACCCATTGTGCTTTTCGTGAGATCGATAGTGGGAACGATAGTGAGACCGATAGTGAGGTCGATCAGGAGATCTGTGGTGAGATCGATCGTGAGTTCAATGGTTGAAACGATCGTGATACCGATTCTAAGAACGATAGTGGGACCGTTCGTGAGACCGGTTGTGAGACCAATAGTGCGATCGATAATGAGGTCGATGTGGGTTCGATCGGGAAGTTGAACATGGTACCCATAGAGACGTTAACAGATGGATCGAGTTCGACGGACCAGGTGGCCAAACGCCGACCTGAGAAATCCGGGCGTGCCTCCGGCAGACTATGTTTATGCCATCGGTTGCTCTTCTTCGAGCGTCGGATCCTCCCCCTCTCGCGATGGGGGAGTGGGAATCAGGAAAGGCGACACAACCACCACCAGCGCGAGGTGCCAGGCAGGGTCCTGTGGTGTGTCACCTCCGCATGCCCAATGCATCTCCGATCCCCTGCTAGGGGAGGCATCGTGGAACCCCTCGCTGGAGGTGGCCTCCACTGTAGTCGTGGTGTCGCCTCTCCTGTCTCCGAAGGATGGGGAAGCGGTGGCGGCGGCAGAGCTCGGCACTGTGTAGTTGATATTCCAGTAGCTTAAACAAAACTCAATTGACTCGGCCGGGAGGTACCACACGAAACCACACGGATCGCCAGGCAGGCCAACAGATCCAATGGATCGCCCGGCAGGCAAGAAGACAGAGAGGAACAAAGAGACATGGATAGAGAGAGAGAAAGAGAGAGAGAGAGAGAGAGAGAGAGAACGAGAGAGAGAGAGAAAGAGAGAACAGAGAGAACGGCATTGTTTGACGAACGACGAATGGTGTTGATACGCACGGTGACGCCATCGAGGACGCCGGCCAGAAGACGGCTTGACAGCTTACATCCCGACGAGTCACCGTCGGGGCAGAAACTCTCCAGCCGCCCACCTCCCCCTTCATCTTCCTCCAGCACCCAACACACCCTCCTGCTCATGGCGTCCTCCTTTTCTCACGTCTCACTCCTCCCCTATCTGAATTCTACCAGCCCTCTGGGCGTGATTGGTTGAGGACGCTTCCTCTTCCAACCCTCATTCTCCCAATGTGGCGAGGGGTTTACGAGGGCGCGCCGCTGGATCTCCCCAAGGGGGGGCGGGATTGGGAACCCCTCCCCCCCCCCTTTCTTCGATCCGTCGTCTGGGACCCCCCCCCTTCCCCCCCTCCCCCCCTTCCCCGATCCGTCGTCGGGGACCCCCCCCCCTCTCCGCCCCTTTCCTCCCCCCCCTGTCCCCCCTTTCAATAGGGGGGGGTCCTGACCCCCCCCCTCCCCCCCTTGGCCGCGCCCCCCCCCCTTTCGCCACGCCGCCCCTGGCTCTGGAACCCGGCCCCCGCCACCCTTACCCCTAGTCCTCACCCGAACCCAAAACCCTAACATTAACCCCAACCACTAACCCCAGCCCCAAAAAGTACTCACTACTCACTACTCAGTACTCACTACCCACTACTGACTATTCGCCATTCGCTACTCAATTCTCAGTACCCCTACTCACTACCCGCGACTCACTACTCACTATCCACTACTCAGTACCCACCACCCACTACTCGCTACTCGCTACTCCCTACTCCCTACACAATAGTGACTACACAGTACTCAGTACTCACTACTCGCTACCCCCATACTCGCTATTCAATACTCACTGCTCACGCCCCGCTGCTCACTACTCACTACTCATTACTCCCTGCTCACTAGTCGCTACATAGCCTCTAATCACTAGTCACTACTCACTACCCACTATGCGCTACCCACTTCTTATTACTGACTACTCTCTACTGACTACTCACTACTCACTACGCCCTACTCGCTCCTCAGTACTCCCTACGCGTTACTCACTAATCACTACACCCACTACTCACTACTGACTACTCTCTACTTGCTACTCACTACGCCCGACTCGCTCCTCAGAACTCCCTACTCGCTACTCCCGACTCTCTACTCACTACTCACTACCCACTGCCACTACCCAGTACTCTCTTCATCACTACTCACTATTCACTACTCACTACGCACTACTTACTACTCACTACTCACTACGCACTACTCACTATTCGCTACTCCCTACTCTCTACTCGCTACTCACTGCTCACTACTCACTACTCACTACCCACTACTCACTACTCACTACTCACTGCTCACTACGCACTACGCACTACCCACTACTCACTACTCACTAGTTGCCACCCACTACTCACTACCCACTACTCACTACTCCCTACTCATGACTCCCTACTCCCTACTCAGTACTCACTCGCCGCTACTCGCTACTCGCTACTCACTACTCACTACTCGCTACTGACTACTCACTTATCAGTACACACTACTCACTATTCACTACTCACTACTCCTCACTCCCTACTCCCTACTCCCTACTCGCCACTCACTACCCACTACTCACTACTCCCTACTCACTACGACGACGCACTAACTCACTACTCACGACTCACTACTCCCTACTCCCTGCTCCGTACTCCCTACACACCTACTCCAGCGCAGAAAAGAGAAGCGAGAGAGGCCCCCACTCCCCGGCTTCCTTTCCGGCGCAAAGTGGGGGAGGGGGGGGGGGGTCCGACCCGAAATAAAACGAAGTACAATCGACTAGTCCTAATTCCAGCCGTTCGGAGCGAATTGCAGCCAGAAATAAAACCAATTCCAACCAGAAGTGACACCAATCAACCATGGATGGGATCTTCGGGATTCCTCCGGATTCCTTCGGATTATTCGGAATTCCTCTTCTGAACTACTACTACTACTACTACGACTACTACCACTACTGCTTCTACTACTTCTACTACTACCACTTCTACTACTTTTACCAATTCTACTACTTCTATTACTTCTACCACTACTACTACTACTACTACTACTACTACTACTACTACTACTACTACTACTACTACGACTACTACTACTACTACTACTACTACTACTACTACTACTACTACTACTACTACTACTACTACTACTACTACTACTACTACTACTACCACTACGACTACGACTACGACTACTCCTACTACTACGACTACTATTACGACGACTGCGAGTTACGACTACGCGGCTACGTCGACGACTACTACTACTACTACTACTACTACTACTACTACTACTACTACTACTACTACTACTACTACTACTACTACTACTACTACTACTACTACTACTACGACTACTACTACTACTAAGACTACTACTACAACCTACTACTACTACTTATATTACTACTACTACTTATATTACTACTACTACTACTACTACTACTACTACTGCTACTACTACGACGACTACGACTGCAAATACCAATGCTACTACTACTACTACTACTACTCCTACTACTACTACTACTACCACTACTACTACTACTACTACTTCGACTACTACTACTACTACTACTACTTCTTCTTCTTCTTCTACTACTACTACTACTACTACTACTACTGACTCATACCACTACTACTACTACTACTACTACTACTACTACTACGACTACTACTACTACGACTACTACTACTACTACTACTACTACTACTACTACTACTACTATTACTACTACCACTACTAGTACTACTATTACTACTATTACTACGACCCTTCCCGACGTCGAAACCGACTCCCACCCCGACGCCCTTCCTGACGCCCTTACTTACGCCTAGCCCCACGCCCAGCCCCACGCACTGCAGGCACCCAACACTCAGCCTTACCGAGCCCACGAGCAGCACCACCACCCACGCCACCAAAACCATTGCCGCCACCAGGACCGTGCGCCAGTCCCAGATTCCGAGTTCACACCAGAGAGGAACCTCTACAACCGGGAGCAGACCCAGCGCCAGC